AAGATCTTCACCAACCCTGCAACAGACAAAGGTCTGATCTCCAAAATATATAAAGAACTCAAGAAACTAGACTTTAAAATGCTAATTAACCCAATTAAAAAATGGGGCACTGAACTGAACAGAGAATTCTCAACAGAAGAATTTCAAATGGCCAAAAGACACTCAAGGTTATGCTCAACCTCCTTGGCGATCAGGGAAATGCAAATTAAAACAACTTTGAGATACCACCTTACACCTGTCAGAATGGCTAAAATCAAAAACACCAATGATAGCCTTTACTGGAGAGATTGTGGAGAAAGGGGCACACTCATCCATTACTGGTGGGAATGCAAACTTGTGCAACCACTTTGGAAATCAGTGTAGCGGTTTCTCAGGAAATTTGGGATCAACCTACCCCAAGATCCAGGAATACCACTCTTGGGAATATACCCAAGAGATGCCCTATCATATGACAAAAGCATTTGTTCAACTATGTTCATAGCAGCATTATTTGTAATAGCCAGAACCTGGAAACAACCTAGATGCTCTTCAATGGAAGAATGGATGAAGAAAGTATGGAATATATACATATTAGAGTACTACTCAGCAGTAAAAAAACAATGACTTCTTGAATTTTGCATGCAAATGGATGGAAATAGAAAACACTATTCTGAGTGAGGTATCCCAGACCCCAAAAGATGAACATGGGATGTACTCACTCATAATTGGTTTGTAGCCATAAAGGACATTGAGTGTATTGGTTTTTTGAGACTGGGTTTCTCTGTGTCGGTTTGAAGCCTGTCCTGGAACTAGCTCTTGTTGACCAGGCTGGCTTCCAACTCACAGAGATCCACTTGCTTCTGCCCCCCCAAATGCTGGGATTAAAGGTGCGCCCCACCACCACCGCCAGGCCAAACCATATTTTTGAATCAAATAAATACTTACTGTTAGAAGGGAAGAGCAGGGCTTGTCATGGGGTACAGATGGTAGGGGCATGCGCTGCTAAGCCTGATGACCTGGTTCAGTCCTCAGAATCTCATGGTTGAAGGACTTCAGCAAGTTGTCCTTTGACCTGTCTTTCTCCTTTTCCTCAACTAAATAAATAAACAGAATGTAATTTTTTAAAGATTTTTTTTTAAAAAAGAGAGGAATGTTATCAATTATTAGAATTTCCACGAAAACCAAAGTGCACAAACGAAATGTAGTTTTGTCTATAACAGTAAACAGATATGTGATGTAGTAAGATGTCATATTACACCGTCTTCATCCTGGCTGGGCACAGTGCTGCATTTGGGAGGCAGAAGCCAGAGAAGCTCAAGTTGGAGGCCATCGTGGCCTGTGTAGTAAGATCTGTGTCAGAAGCTAAAGCCGCCATCGAATAGAGAAGAACTCTCTGCGTGTGAATTCCCACCCAGCACATCAGCTCTCCCTCTTGACAGTCCTGCGCAGTGTAACACCCCTCTGCTTTAGCTTTTCCTTTCTTGGCCCTCCCTCCAATCTGTTTTTTTTCCTTTGTTTTGTTTTGATGAGGGCTGATTACTGTACTTTATATTTCAGAAGTATTAATATATCCATGATTAAAGATCAGGAAAAACAATGAAATCATCCTAGTTATGAACTTCAGTTTGCTAGTATATTTCTAGAGATGCATAGCTAATTATAAGGTTGGTAGAATTTGCCTTATCAAGTTTTGCTCTTTAACCCCCTTTATTCTAATTCTAAGATTTTAAATTAGTTGGTTTTTTTTCTCAACACTATGCAGTGTCGTGTTCCCTTAGACGCTTCTGGCAAACAACCCTTATTCTCGCCTTATTTGTCTCACTTCAGTGCATGAACTTAGAATACTTTTTTGTTCTTCAGCTTTCCTTCCCTGTGAGGGAGATAAAACATAATTCCCCCCTTAATCCTCTTAAGTCTGTAGTTGAGTCAGAGTTCTGACACAGGAGAGTCATAAGAGAAGGAAGTTTATCAGCACGTGCGTGACACAGACACCACATGGGAGAACACACAGGTAGGTGACCAGGGCAGGAGCCTGACTTACTTAATTACCTAACTGGGAACCAGAAATTTCATTACAATATTTGCCGTAGTCTCTCTTCTGTTGCTGTGAAGAGACCACTATGACCAAAGCAGCTCTTCTAAAGCGTATAATTGGAGATTTGCTTACAGTTCAGAGGTTTAGTCCCTGATCATCAGGGCTGGGAGCATGGCAGTAGGCATGGCAGGCGTGGTGCTGGAGAAGTAGCTGAGAGATACATCCTGATCCTCAGGCAGAAAGACACTGGGCTTGGCATGGGGTTTTGAAACCTCAAAGTCCACCCCCCAGTGACACACTTCCTCCACCAAGGCCACGCCTCCTACTACTCCTAATCCTTTCAAGCAGCGCCAGTCTCTGGTGACTAAGCTTCAAATATCTGAGCCATTCTCACTCAAACCACCATATTATTTATTTGGCTAGAGAGAGAGATAGAGAGAAAAGAGAGAGGGAGAGGGAAAGGGAAAGGAGAGAGGGGGGACAGGTACAAGTGTCAAAACTCAAATGTGATGAGAGGACAAATTGCAGGGCCTTGGTTCTCTTCTTCTACTCTATGGGTCTCTAGGATTGAACTCCGGTCATCAGGCTTCCAGAAAATGCCTTTACCCACTGCGCCATCCCGCCAGCCCTTTGAGAATAATAAATATCAAAGCAATGACAAGACAAAGAAAAGCAGCTGCAAGCTTCCAGAAGACGTGTAGGGGAAAGGCTGGCTGAGCAAAGTCTGCAGAGTCTCAGTTTCTGAGCTGATGAGGACTGGGGAAGAGAATGTGCCTCCTCTCCTTGGGTAGGAACTGGTGGGGGAAGATGAAAAAGGTCTCTGTTTTTGTGTGTCTATGGTCTATGTCCTGTTTCTAGGAAAGCAGAGAGGGAGGCAGATAGCTCTCCTGGGTCCTGTCTTCAGCTGAGTAGTTCATCATTTCTATCTTCTAGAAGCAGGTGTGTTCTGGTTTCCTTCCCGCGTAAAACTGGATGAGCAGAACATGAAGCCCCTGAAAGGCCTTGGGGGTACATAAGACACCATGGTCCTAATTATACATACCACAATTCGTATCCCAACATGTTTCTTAATAGTTTTGTGGAAAGCTTTTTACCCTTTCTCCACAGTACACTAGAATTGGAAATTTCTGAATGACGACTGCAGGCTGTGCCAACCCGTGACAAGCTTTACCTTCTCATAGAAATAGGAAAAGCAAGGAGAATGTGTGGCAGTTTTGATTGTTTGTTTGTTTTGAGACAGGATTTCTCAGTGTAGCTGTGACCGTCTTTGAACTAGCTCTGTAGACCAGGCTAGCCTCCGACTCCGAGATCCCCCTGCTTCTGCTTCCAGAATGCTGGGACTAAAGGTATTTATCACCACTTCCAACTGTGTGATAGAGGTTTTTAAAAAAAAATGATTTATGAGCTCAATTGCAGAATCACAATTCTGAATGAACTCAAGATCTTTGAGTTTTTCAGGGAGTCAGGAGGACATTTTTTTAATGGTAGGTAGCTGTTATTTTTAATTTCATACACTGATTTATAAAAGCTGTTCCTCCAATAGATGAGCACAGAGAGAGACTGGAGCTAGCTGAGTAGGTGTTGAAATACCTCCAGGCTGAAATCCCCACGAAACTGGATTATATGGTACACATGTTCACATTGTTAAGTTCTGGGGATCCAGATGAGTACGAGACACAACTGACTGGTTGCCTTAGACAACAGAAATATGTGTTCCCACAGTTTTGATTGGGAAATGTCTGAGACGTAGATGCCAGCAGGGTGGGGTCGGGGAAATGTTCTCTCCCTGTCATGCACCACAGCCACCTTCTCACTGTGTCTAATGCGGCAGCGAGAGGAGGGCCCTTCCTGAGGCCTGCTGTCAAAAGGGCACTTGTGCTGTTACGATGGCATCCTTATGACCCCAGTAAACCTCGTGGTCCTCCAAAACTATATCTCCATATGCTGTCCATTTAGGTGCCGGAGCTTTACTATGTAAAATTGTACATATACCCCCACACACGTTTAGTTCATAGCATGTACAGTTACAGTGAGGACTCAGGAAAAGTTAAATCTTCCCTTGATTAAATTATTCCTAAGTTTCGGAAACAATGACAAAATGAGGTAAGTGGCATTACTGCTAACTCAAGCTTTAAAGTCTCACACTCCAGGGCTTAGCCCTGGAAGCTGAAGTAGGGGTGCAGGGGACAGTCCTTCACCTGGGGAGACTAACTGGAAAGATGTGTAGCAAGCCTGGTGGGAAATAGAAGCCTATGGTTTTTTAAAACTCAAAGCAAGACTATTCTTTGGCATCCAACAATGATACGAAATTCCACTTGCAATGTCCCCTCCATGAGGTGCAGATCACAACCACTCTTGTTCATGTACAAGTTGTCATTGTTGCTCCTAGGATGCAGCAGCAGGGCCAACTGGCTGCAACAGAGCCAGAAGTATGCACCATCTGGCCTCTACTGGGGAAGCTTGTCAAGCCCAGATCTGCTAACAAAGCTATAGGCTGAAAACACCATCTTAGAAAGATATAGAGCTGTCTCCTAGAATAGAGCCCTCACCCCTGAGCTAGGGGAAGGCCTGGAGATCCTCTGTATCAAATTGTCAATCCCTGATTGTTCCAACAAAGAACTAACAGGGAAAGACAAGTGGGTTTCTTGTAGGAAGGAAGAACGAGCAAACAAACAAACAAAAAAAAAAAGAGTTGATGTTTCCAGTTTGATCTCTTTGAAAGTCTAGTCAATTTACAACTAGACCGGGTTGGGCTGTTGGGCCAGTCTAGTGCCAGGTTTATCTGCTGTTAAGTCTTCACTTGACTGACACTTACCCTCCGGTGAAAGCAGAAGGGAGGAAAGGGGGCTAATAGTGGTACCTCTTGTGGAATCCAGCATTGGTCAGTAAGTATCAGTAGCATTTTTTTTCCTGTTGGGTCATTTCCATTGTTTCTGACCTATTTTTGTTTTGTCCCCTTTGCTTCCCTGCCCCCTTGTACACACAGGCGATCTTAAAGGATGTGGACTCGCTTCTCTACGTGGACACGGATGTCCTCTTTCTGAGGCCCGTGGATGATATCTGGAAGCTTCTGAGACAGTTCAACTCTACCCAGCTTGCTGCCATGGCCCCAGAGCATGAAATCCCCAAGATTGGCTGGTACAGCCGCTTTGCCCGCCATCCTTTCTATGGCTCTACAGGGGTTAATTCAGGGGTCATGCTCATGAACTTAACTCGCATCAGAAGTACACAGTTCAAGGTAAGGAAGAGCTGGAAAATCCCACCTAAAGACGTGGAGTTAGAAGTCAGGTGGTGGTGGCTCACACTTTTAATCCCAGCACTGTGAGTTCAAGGACAACCTGGTCTACAGGGTGAGTTCCAGGACAGCCAAGGCTACTCAGAGAAACCCTTGAGAAACGAACCGAATAAACAAACAGAAGACCCGGAATTTCCAGTAGGGACATGCTGGGTGTGTGTCTGTGCTGATCTGGCTTATGGGTGGGAGGAAAGTATTGGAAATGTGGAATTTTGCTTAGGAAAAGCCCAGGCAACTATATACTGTGAAGCTTCATAGACTCCATTCAGAAATACTATATGATGTTTCTGAATTACAGAGAGGGCTCAGAGGGTCAAACAAGTGTGATGCAAGCCTGATGACTGGAGCTGAGCTCCCTAAAATCCATGCAAAGCTGACACAGAAGCACAGTTGCCTGCAGTCCAGAACACTAAAGGTCCAGACAGGAGCAATGCTGGAAGTTATGGGTCAGCTAGCCTGGCCTGAGCAGCAAAGAGACCCTGCTCAAACAAGGTGGAAAAGGCAGGACTAGAGACAAGAAAGCTGCCATCTCATCCCCATACGTGTGCTGTGACCCATGTGTGCCTATAGCCGCACACACAACCAGGCATTCTCATACACCTCTGGAAAGACAAGGCTGACGAAATAGCCGAGCAGGTAAAGGGGATTCCACCTGGCAATGCAAGCATGGTGGCTTGAGTTTCATCTCCAGAACCTATATAAAGGTAGAAAGGGAGTTGTCCCCTGACCTCTACATGTACCCCACGACACATGATTGCACATACATAATAAACACACACACACATACACATTCAAATAATAAATACTAAAAAAAAGAAAAAGAAAGAAAGAAAAAAAAGAAAACCAAAGGGCCCTCTCTACTTCCTGATCCACTCTGCATCCATAGGTACCCACCCCCACAAGCATCTACCCACAGCCCTCGCTTTGCTTGGTTCTGTGCCCAGGGTAGCAGGACCACACCTGTGTGTCCTGTGTGTTGCATCTTGGAGGACAGGAAAGCATTTTCACTGGACAAGGCACTCTCGCTTTCCTGCAGCTGCTCTCACGGTTTCCTCTCTTCCAGAACAGCCTGATTCCAACAGGCCTGACTTGGGAGGACATGCTGCTCCCGCTGTACCAGAAGTATAAGAATGCCATCACGTGGGGAGACCAGGATTTATTAAATATTATTTTTTATTTCAACCCAGGTAAGCGCTCTTTGGAGAATGCCACTGTGTAGGAGTCCGCCCACCTCATTTCATAGGGAACATTCTAGACACAGGCTGCTATTGATGGACCTCCATGGGGCACAGAGAGGCTTGTGTTCCTCTGGCCCACCCTTACATCTGCCTCCCGGGTATCTGCGGAGGCAGGTCCTCAGCCACTAACACAAAAGGCCAAATGTTGAAGCCTCCAACGCTGCACTCTGGTTTTAGAGCCTTTTCTGTCCCGCCACACCATCCTTCCAAGAAGTGCCGCGTAAAGTGACGCAAGACGCAGAACCAGATGACCAGATGACAGTATTTTCGTGTGAGCACCAGACCCTCACCATGGAGCAACTACTAGTGGAAGGGAGGTGGCTCCTGAGCTTTAAAATTCAGTCACCTGTCCAGAGTGCAGAGGGCCTAGGATAAGATCTCGGATCCCCCAGGGTTTGGTTTTGTTATCTAGAGCAAAAGAAAATGTTATATATTGTTAGCTTGGTGACTTGTCAGAGGGTACCAAGTGGGGCAGGGTGTCCTGGTTGGCTTTTTGTCAGCTTGACACAAGCAAGAATTCTCTGGGAACTTCAATTGAGGAAATGACTCCCTCAGATTGGCCTCTAGGCAACTCTATGTGTAGGCAACTCTATGCAGCATCTTCTTGATCAATTAATGACTGATGTAGGAAGCGTAAGATAAAATGAACCCTTTCCTCCCCAAGTCGCTTTTTTTTCTGTGTAGTGTTGACTGTTCTAGAACTTGCTCTGTAGACCAGGCTGGTCTTGAACTCACAGAGATTCTCCTGCTGGGACTAAAGTCTTGTTCCACCACTACCCCTTCCTCCAAGTTGCCTTTGATCATGGTCTTTATCATAGAGTATAGAATCATAACTAGTACACAGAGAGATGAAATTTCCTGGTCTGTGTTTTCATATTAATCCCTAAAGCTAATAAAATGTTCTTCTTCCCTCCCCTCCCCTTTGCTAAAAGGTTATTTAATTTCATTAAAGTGAAAACAATGGTTTCCTTTGAGAGGAATCTTTAGGGAAAATAAAGTAGTCCTTGTCTTATCAGTCCTTCCCTTCCTGAAGTAGAGAGCCATGTTGATAGTGGTGTGGCCTGCGGTGCTTGTCACCCTTAAAGCATTTGTTATGGGCCACAAAAAAGAAAAGCATCTGCTACGAAACCTGATGCTGTAGGTCTCTGGATTAAAAAGAACCAAATCCTAGGAAAGAAAACAAGCGAGCCAGCATGGGTTTGTGGGGAGAGACTTCCAGTGCTAGCTAGATGAGCAGAGCCCATCTTGGCTCTTTACATGCAACTTCCAATCCATTTCTCTCCTCCAGTATGTGGTCTGCACCTCGTTTTTCTTCTTAAGCGGAAAATGTCTTTTCTGTAGATGAAGGGGTGTCAGTTTGGATTCTGGGGCCCTGCAGATAGCATCAGAACAAAGGTTGCTTGTTAAATCAGCAGATGGTGTCTCACAGAAGCAAGGAGTGGGAATGCTGGCAGGCTCAGCCCAGTAACTGCAACAGGAGGGGACCTGGTGGGGAATGGAGGTGACATACACTTACCCTCTCCCACTGATGTTGTGGGACCCAGTGAGGAATGCAGGTGACATGTGCCCTCACTCTCCCACTGATGCTGTGGGACCCAGTGGGGAATGCAGGTGACATGAATCCCCTCCCAATGATGATGTGGTACCCAGTGGGGAATGCAGGTGACATGAACCTCCTCCCACTGATGCTGTGGGACCCAGGGGAGAATTCAGGTGACATGGACCCCCTCCCACTGATGCTGTGGGACCCAGGGGAGAATGCAGGTGACATGGACCCCCTCCCTCTCCCACTGATGCTGTGGGACCCAGTGACATGGGCCCCCTCCCTCTCCCGTTGATGCTGTGGGACCCAGTGGGTAGTGCAGGTGACATGAACCTCCTCCCACTGATGCTGCGGGACCCAGTGGGGAATGCAGGTGATATGTACCTCCCACTGATGCTATGGGACCCAGTAGAGAATGCAGGTGACATGTACCCTCTTTCACTGATGATGTGGGACCCAGTGGGGAATGCAGATGACATGGACCCCCTCCCTCTGATGCTGTTTATTCCTTTTTGAAGATTGTCACTTCGCTCCCCAGGCGTCAAAGCAATGTACTCATATCTGTTATGGGTCCAGCCACCCACAAAGGCTAACTTCATGCCAGTTCCACCCTCCCAGGGGAAAAGTCACATGGTTCTGCAGGGATCAGCAAGGCCAGCAGCATGGACTGTGGGAATGATGCCTGGTGTGTGCCTTGCCTTTCATTGGTGTTAAACCCAGTTGGATTTGATGACCTGGGTGCCTCCTTCTGAGGTCCACTGACCCGAAGATACTATGACATAATTATGTTCTACATCCTGGTTCAGAGCAGAGCCTAGTAAGCAATCAAGAGCTCAGGTTTCGGGTCAGTGGTAGGTCATTTGCTGGCCTTTGTGTGGCTGTTTGGTCCCATTTTACACTTACCTTGGCACTGTATTAAACATTAGCTCTCTCTAATGAACCGCTAAGGACAGCCATCACGTATACATTTTCCTCTCATTTATTTTGCATGTGAACTCTCCACAACCTAAAGCCAACTGTATGTTTTTAAAGATTTGTCACCTTTAGCATTGTAAAGAGGAGAGTGACAATACTGGCAGCAACCTAGGAGATAAATACATTTATTGTTGTGGCTTACTGGGTTGCTATGGATGAAGTCACACACATAAAACCTGCCGCACAGGACTGCGGTGTTAGGGAAGGGAGTCTCTTGTAGCCAGTAACCTACTTTCTGATATGTATTTAAAAGTCATTAGCTAAAATCTGTTGTTAAACTTCCTGCCATGATTAGATCGTAAAATGTGTGTGGGTGTGGAATTGCATGGCTCGGTTGCAGACTGACTCAGGTGGAGGTAACTGAAGCCCCTTGGGACTGTGCAGGCAGCTGGTCCCACAGAGCATTTCTTGGTATGTGGAAAAAAGCAGCTTCTCCTTGAATGAAAGGCTGACCTCACATTTGTGTGTGTGCATGCACATGTGCGTGTGTTCATGTAGCATGGATACATGTGTGTGGGTGCATGCATGTAGAAGCCAGAGGTTGACTTTGGGTGTTTTCCAAAGTTACACTAGATTTAATTTTTTGGGCAGAGCATCCCACCAGAACAGAAATATATAGTTCTCTAAGGGGCAGAGAAGAGCTAACCTGTCCCTGGAACGTACATAGCCAGACTAGGTACTGAATGTATGTTACTAGGGAGTCGGGATCTCCGGAGGACACAGGTAGTAGGGCCCATAGCCACACACACTCTTTGAAGGCCTTATTTTAGGTTCTTACTCTCATCCTTCCCAGGACCTCCCAGGGCCCTGGCCTTGGCTATTTGGCTACATTGAATGAACACCACAACAAAGCAGTCAGCCTCAAGAAGTCCTGAGTACTGTGCTGTGAGGGTGATCAGATCAATTACTTCACATTAGGTGCGCTTCTGGACACGGTGAACTGGGAAGCTCACCAGCCCTGATTTCTGTAAAGCACAGAGACAAGAATGAATATTGTAGGGTCCATGTGAGATGGGCATGGTTTATGGTTTTGGTTTTGTTGTTGTTTCAGTACAAGGCGCCAGAAGTGTTAGTTGGTTGAATGGGTAGAATCAAAAAAATAGAGTGATGTCAACAGAAGAGAAACAAAATCACAGCAAGGGAACTAAGGGAAAAGGGAATTAGGGACAGAAAGCAGTCTCCAGCAAGAGACAAGACCGAGATACTTACAGTCTAGGAAGGCATAAAGTTCACTCCACTCATTCAGCATGTGTGTGCGCACACACACTCACACACACAGAGAAAATAAGCATCTCCCTACACAGACCATGTCAGTTCATGTTCCTGTTCCCGCCTCCCGAGTGCTGGGATTACCGGTGTGCACCACCACAACAACCACACACAACTGTCCTGCTGCAAAGGTCTCTGCTCCGTTGGTAGATGGTAGCAATTGAGTGTCAAGCGCATCTTTCTGTGAAGTTAAAATGATCAGGCACAAACCATACTGTAATCTTCAGCACCAACTGGATATGAATCATCAGAGCTGCAAGGGAGTCCTGGCACTGTGTGGGTCTTGAAGATATCAGTCATTAAGGGATATCACCCATAGGGAACCAGTTTTTAATATAACTTTGAGAGAGAGAATAGCAAAGACCAAGGGCTTCAAGAAAGGGTGTTTTGAATTTTTTTTTTAATTTATCTACTTGTTTTTGGACAGGGTCCTTTGTGTAGCCTGTCTTCAGCCTCTCAGTGATGCCTGCCTAGCCCTTCTGCTCCTCTTCCTCCTGCTCATAAAGCGGACAGTTTAAGTTTACAAAGTTAACCTGCAAATAAACAGACACATCTATGTATTTGGAGGGTGGGGGTGAGTGTACAGGAGGAGGTGTACATGTGTGTTATATGTAGAGGCCAGAGGACAATCATGGATCTCACTGGCCTGGAACTTGCCCCATAGGCTAGTCTGGTTGGTCCATGAACAGCATGGATCTACTTTCTCTGCTTCAGAATGCAAAGATGCTACCAAGCCTGACTATTTTCACATGTGTTCTGGGGCCCAAATCAGGCCATCATGCTCATACAGCAAGCACTTCGCCAACTAAGCTATCCCCCAGACCAGATCTGTTATCTTCATCTTCCTACTGCTGATTGCCCTTTCTTTTGATAACAGATTCCATTGCTGGATGAAATAGCTCTTTCCCCATTTCATGTGTCCAAGAGCCCTGCCCCCCAGTGTTTCCCTGCTAAACCAGTCAGACCATCCATTCCCTGGTTTCTAAATCCTAAAACCTAAGAACTGAATCCATGGCTGGTTCATCCAGCCAGCAGTGCCGAAAAGATGACACCAATTAGTCCCCACCCCAGATTCTGGGAGCTGCTCCACTTCTGGCTCCGATTCTGCCTCACCTCACATTTTATGAGCTACTTAGTTATCTGCAACCCAACACAGATTTCTATGTCTTGACCATTTCAGACTAGTGTATTTATGACAGCTTCTCCTCTACAGTCCTTCCCCATTGAAGACATCTTTTCTTCAACAAATCCAAGGTGATTTACCTTCTTCTAAAACACGTTCCAGTTTCTCAAAATCTAATATGATCAGACCTTTTCTTCCTGGAGGGCTCTTCCAAGCTTCGGTTTCTGGCAGAATTGCATCCTAACTAAAGCCTGCACTTAAATGAAATTGTCAAAACAGGATACCACTGTCCTACAGCGACACAGGTGACAAATGCTTTCTATGATTACCTGTGCAATATTTTGCATTTTTCATCCCAGGAAATTCTGTTAAGGTGTGAATTGAATTTCTTCTGAGTTCCATTTTGTATTCGAGGTTTGGCAGCTGGGGTACATAGCTGATATTTAGGAGACATGAAGACCCTGAACTTATAAACAAATGTTCTTTTAGATCTGTGTCCCTCTCCCCCACCCCCAGTTGCAGTTTTGCGTACTTGGGGTCTAAAGCTTCCATTAGATTCTCAAAGAGATCTGTGACCCACAAAATGGTAAAGAATGATCCTGCATGTCTAGGGACAGTTGTCATAAACACTGATCACAGGTGTACTGTGTTGTAAGAGACCACTTATTCATCCCAGCTGCCCAGAACTGAAATAATCACACAGAAACTATATTATTTAAAACACTGCTTGGCCCATTAGCTCTTGCTTCTTATTGGCTAACTCTTACATATTAATTTAACCCATCTCTGTTAATCTATGTATTGCCATGTGGCTATGGCTTACCTGGTAAAGTACCATCATCTGTCTCTGGTGGGCTACATGGCTTCTCTCTGACTCCGTCTTTCTTTCTCCCAGCATTCAGTTTAGCTTTCCCTGTCTAGCTCTGTTCCCCCCATAGCTCTGCTATAGGCCCAAAGCAGTTCCTTTATTAACCAATGATATTCACAGCATACAGAGGGGAATCCCACATCAGTACTGTGTGCTGGTGTTCATCAGTATTGTGATTTGAACATAAAATGCTCCATCTAGGCTCCTGTGTCTAGACAGTCAATCCCAAGCATGTTTTGGAAGGAAGCGGTGCCGTCAGGAGGTGGAGCCTCACTGAAAGTTTTATATTTGGGTTGTTTTTAATCTGAAGAGAACTCTTTATCTTAATCTACGCTCTCCTATCTTGTGAGTTTGTCCTCCTCACAAAACCTTTCCAAAGAAATGATCATTGCTGATACTCTTGGGCAGTCCTGTGTGCTTGGCGCTTTGTGTTAACATTTGCTATGTATTTTTTACCTTGAGGTTCTAGGAATTTAACCTAGGGCTTCATGAAGGTTATGCAACCTCTCATCCTCAGCCTGGAGTATTTTAAATTTTTAATAATCAAAATCAGTAAAGAAGTGACTGGTTCCAGATTTCACTGTTCATAAGTGAGAAGTTGGGGTTCAGATACAAGTGTGCTGGTTAATTTTTGTCAGTTTGACACAAATTAGAGTTGCCTATGGAAAAATCACAGTTGAGGAATTAGCTCCATCATGTTGACCCATGGGCACCTCTGTGGGACATTTTCTAGATTAATGATTGATGTGGGAGGACCCTGCCCACTGTGGGTGAGGCCACCTATATAGTGCAAGTGGTCCAGCTTTATCTAGGAAAGCAAACTAGGCAAGCTATAGGGAGCAAGCCAGTAAGCAGCACCCCTCCATGACCTCCGCTTCAGTGCCTGCCTCCAGGTTCCTGCCTTGAGCTCCTGGAAGTTGACATGAAACAAACCCTTTCCTCTCCAAGCCGGTTTTGGTCATGGTGTTTATCACAGCCACAGAAAGCAAGCTAGAACACTAGGCTGTTTGATGCCCTGGTTTAACTCCTATTTTAGGTATTGTTCTGTCTTCCTCTATCATCAATAATGGGTGTCCCTGCCATCATTGATCTCAGAATTTAAGCAAGTGTGGCATGGAATATTTGACCTGGGATTCACAGCCACACTCCAAAGCATTGAAATTGTGCAGTGTGTGGCTTATAAATGTTACGTTTTAAGCGCCAGTCTTACAGGTGACAGCGGGCACTGACCATAGCTCTATCTCTTCCTCCGCCACCAGAGTGTCTCTACGTGTTCCCCTGCCAGTGGAACTACCGCCCTGATCACTGCATGTATGGGAGCAATTGCAAAGAGGCTGAGCGGGAAGGTGTGTCTGTTCTCCACGGCAACCGAGGTGTCTACCATGACGATAAGCAGCCCACGTTCCGAGCCCTCTATGAAGCAATCCGGGATGTAAGTGTGCTCGTCAAAGCGGACACTTGCTTGCCAGCATTCGGTGCTTCAAGCGCTATGATCCGTGGGTACTGTGAAGGCCAGCCACTCCCAGGGGGAACTCCTGTGCCTTTTGTCATCCTATGGAGTAAGAGTTCAGGATAAAGAGAATGTAACAAAAGTGAGATTGTTTTATTTAGTTTAAGCTAAGTGTGTTGCCTGGTTACCGGCTCCAAGCTCTTAAGCAATCATGTCTCACGCTGGTCAATTAGAAGTTGTTGCACTGAAAGCAGCGATTGGTCCTTTATTATTTTTCCTTCATTTGTGTATGTATGTGTACATGTTTGTGCCTGTTGCATGTGTATGTATGGGTGAGTGTGCGTCTGAAGACCAGAATGCCTTCCTCAATCACTTTCCACCTTATTTTTTTAACTATTTTTATTTTATGTCTATGGTGTTTTGACAGCATACATGTATCGCATGTGTGACTGATACCCTTGGAGGATAGAAAAGGGTTTTGGAGCTCCTGGAACTGGAATAACAGAAGGTTGTGAGACACCATGTGGATGCTGGGAATTGAGCCCACATTCCCAGTGCCCTTAACTACTGAACCAGTCCTCCGGCCCCTCTAATTTTGAGACAGAACCCAAAGCTCACTGGCTTGCCTAGTAAACCCAGAGATCTCCAGTCTGTAACTCCCCAGTCCTGTGATCACAGGTATACACCAACACACACAGAGTTTACGTAGGTGCTGGGGATCAAACTCATGTCTTTAAGCTTACATAGCAAACACTTTGCCTACTGAGCTATATTCCCAATCCACCAATCTCTTATTGACTTAATAATGCAATCAAAAAGAGATGCTTACCATTTTTAGCACCAAAGGAGATTTGTTAGGGGCATGTGGATACAACCTAGATGGAGGAATCTTGTCATAGCCAAGAGGCCCTGAGGAAAACACTCCTGTACCTCATGAACCGTGAGCCAGGAATGGAGAGCTGGAGGACAAGGTTAGGAACAGAAGGTTCTAAATCCAAGTAGAGGAAAGTGCCCCAGCCAAGGTACCCGAACAGGGAGGCCTTCAGAAGTGAACATCAGGCTAGGCAGTCAGAGCTGCATGTGAATCTGGCTGCCCAGCGCAGAAAGTCTGAGCCCTTGCCCAGAGTGACTCCCTCTGGCAGGCTGACCCTGAAAGAACAGCCCCTCCCACCAGGTCTGCCAGGCAAGCCCTATAGCCTTATGTGGTTGGCCTCAAAGATCACATTCAGTAGGTAAAGCCCCTGCCCCATGGTTTCACTTTGCATGGTTTCAGTCACCCTGTGTGACCATGACCCAAAAATATTACATGGAAAATTCCAGAATTCCGTGCTTCATAAGTTGTACATTGTGTGCTGTTCCCAGGAACATGACGAGATTGGATGCCATCCTGCTCTGTCATGCAGGAATGTGAGTCATGTCTTTGTACCTGTAGCCACACTGTATATATTTCCCACCTACTCGTCATGTCATAACCACAGGGTATCCGGTCTGTAGGGCTCGGTACTCATCATGGTTTCAGGTATCCACCCAGTATGTAGATATGTATCTCCCGTGGATAAGCGATGATTTTATGTACAATGTTGGCGTGGAGGTAATGGAGCCCACTCTGTCTTCCTTGAAGAGAAGGGTGGACACATGTGAAGGAGCAGTTCAGGATTATGTGAACTTGGAAAGCTCCGTGTTGCTCATTACCTTTTGCCTTGAGATTGCGATTGCTAATAGGAAACCAATAGCAGGTACATACAAGGGGTGCTCTCCTTAAACCGACCCTCGAAGACAGAGCAAGGATCAGTAAAATTTTCCAACATAACCGAGTCATAGTGCATGCCTTTAAACCCAGCACTAGGGAGGAAGAGGCAGACAGATCCCTCTGAGTTCAAGGTCAACCTAGGCCACAGAGTAAGTTCCAGGACAGCCAAAGATACGCAGAGAAAAACAACAACAACAAAACAATTTTTAACATGATGACTCTGTAGGAGCTTTGTGTTTCAGCATTCACAAACAGAGTTGTGGGAGAACACAGTGCCTTTTCATTCTTATCCTGCCACTGGCTACACTGGCATTCTGACAGCAGGGGTTCTTAGTTATGACTGTAGGGTGCACAGTGCCGAAAGGATTACCTCCCACCCTGACAGGAACCGTTTGCCAAGCCCCTGAGACATACTTTATTAAATATCTTTATTTGTTCTTGAAAATCTGGGAACCTGGTGCCAGGATTTAGACACGCACATACGACAGCTATGTGTGGAGGTCAGAGAGTAATTCGGGCTGTTGTTCTTCACCTCTGCCTGGGCAGGCAGGGGCTCTTAGTGGTTTACTGCTTCATGTGCCAGGCTAGCTGGTCCCTGGGATTCTGGGGAGTCTACCATCTCCGTCTCCCATCCTACCGTAAGAACACAGGGATCACAGATACAGGCTACCATGCCAGGCTTTCTGCGTGTTCTGGGGACCCAGACATAGGATGTCACACTTTGCAGAAAGCACTTTACCCACGGAGTCATCTCCCTGCTGGCAATGCATCTGTGTGACTCACTAAGCCATCCCCCAGCTGGACCACATCTGTATCAAGATGAACATTTTGCTAAAGAATTCCAGCTTGGGAAATCCCAGCACTGTCCTCCCCATAGGGGATCACTTGACATGTATCTAAGCGAGTACCTCTTCTCCTGTTTCTTGCTGTTCAGTTTTCAAAGGGCAAGTGATTAAATTACACATCTGATATGCACTCAGTGACATTCTCACACTTGGTTACTCGAACACTGCCTCCAGGGGAAACCCATGCCTAGCACGGGTGGAAGTCAAGGAAGCATGCAACCGTGTGGGCTGATTGGAGCCCTCTCTACTTTCCCTGTGTTCTGGCCCGGCTTTGGAGTTGAGCAATCGTGGCTAAGTTATGACTCATCTGGTTTGTTCTCACAGGGGATCAGAAAGACAGCCAAATGACTTTGCTTCTTAAACAGTTCTGCCTAATCACTCTGTGGAGTCCTGCAGTTTGGCCTCAAAAGACTGTTTTCATTCAGGCATTTCCGTCAGGGCAGTCACTGGCTCCAGATCAGCACGGGAGGGAAGACACTCCATTGTGACGCGGCATTCCCCTATGCCTACCTTTCTCTACAGGGCTGTGATGTTCTCAGCGTAAGATAAAGGATCAGAGCTGGCGCTCTGCCTGGGCAGACCTGGGCTCAAACCCCATTTCTCTTACTCTCTGTTTAGTCATTAACTGCTGTTACCTTACTGAGCCTCGCTTGATTTCCTCATCATAAAATAAAGATAAGAAGGTTACCTTCTGGGGACTGGAGAAATGGCTCAGTGGTTAAGAGCGTTTGCTCTTCCTCAAGACCCAAGTTCTGTTCCTAGCATTCATGTGAGCTGGCTCATGACCACCTGTAACTCCAGCTGCAGGGGGTTCAGTAACCTCATCTGGCCTCTATGGACATGCGCAAGCACGCTCGCGCGCGCGCACATACACACACACAAACACACACACACACACACACACACTTTTTTAAAGTGTTAATAAATACTTTTATATAAATAAAGCTTCCTAATGAGACAGTTATGAAGAGTAAAAAAATGATGGCCTTTAAACTTTAATCACACACCTGACAGCTGCATGTAGTATGTAGATGTTTTAATTGCAAACATTCCATAGCTGTTTCTTTTCTTAGCTTGCTGTCTTCCTTCTCTCTCGTATGCACACAGCCTAACCCTGTGTGTCTATGTGTTCATGTGATGGATGACAGAAATAACAGCTCCCATCATGGCCCTCCCAAAGGTCATCAGGCAGATATTCTTTTTTGTTTGTTTGTTTGTTTTGTTTTTTCGAGACAGGGTTTCTCTGTGGCTTTGGAGCCTGTCCTGGAACTAGCTCTTGTAAACCAGGCTGGTCTCGAACTCACACAGATCCGCCTGCCTCTGCCTCCCAAGTGCTGGGATTAAAGGCGTGCGCCACCACCGCCCGGCTCCCAGGCAGATATTCTTTAGCAATTCTTTCAGCAGTCATCTACAAAGCCTAGTTTATGTAGGAATAATTCCAGTTGTCCGGAATATGGAAGCTTGCATACACACCAAGCCCTGTCTGTGGTCAAGAATCTCTGATCTAGTAGAGAAAACCAGATGATATAATAAATTCCCATCGCAATCAAAGAAAGAGCCTATCTAAGAGGAACAGGATGGGGAGGGCAGAGAACTGGCTACAGAGGGATGTTTCGGGTTTCCAGGGAAGGCCCGTGCCAGCCTGAAACACGGTTGGATGGAGGCATTCCTAGGGAAGATGCTACCGACATAATCTGGAGACTCTCCAAGGTGGAATGAAGTTGGTGTGCCCGGAGCACACGAGGATAGTCACCTCAAACCATCGTGGAGAGCTAGTGTGGGGGCGGGGAGCAGGTGCAGCAGGGTTCCAGCTCTCCTGGAGCTTTTGCGGCGAGAATTGGGCTGCAGTGGGAAGTCTGGGCAGGAAAGTGACAGCTGTGATTTATGGTGACTTATGTCAACTAATTGCAGACTTGCAAGAGTGAGGCATGGGGCCATTTGTGAGGTTGAGAGCAGCCATACAGGCAAGAGCTGAGCTAGCGGGGACATTTGGGGAAGTGGAAAGGTAGGGAGAAGGGGCTGTGCGGATAGAATTCATGGGACTTCTGGTTGGCTGTCTGAGGGCTGTGAGAGAAAGCAATGCTGTCCCAAACCTGAGCTGGTGTGGACCATTCTCGAGTTACCTCTTCACCTTGCTGATCCACGGCACTGAGACAACGTTTCTGATGACCTTGAAGGAGTGGGAGATGTGTTCTAGGAAAGCCGATACCCATCCACTCTGCTCTGGGGCTAGGGGCCTGCCCTTTAACCTTTCTGTTCCTTAGGCTTTTCATTGGCAAAAGTTAAACTGTGACATGATCTACCGTGGCCCTTTCTCTTTCAATAGGATGGTGATAAAGCTTGACACATGCTAGTTTCTAAGTATCCCAAAAGGTTGATTTTGGAAAATGCTGCTCATTCATATATCACATGAAAAAATAAGAGATATTAAAACAAGACAAATCTTCAAATGTCCAATACTCAGTGAATTTAAAAAACTCAAAATTATCACTGACATTTGGCCTCTTAGTTCCTTTTCCCCCCAGCTTCCATGCCTGACCCTGTCCCATGGCTCAAACTCAGGACTTTGGAATCCTAAGCAGATGCTCCACCAGTGAGCCGTATCCCAACCTGGTGCCTAGAATAGCGAAAGAAAGCTCATGGCCAATACATTAACTTGCAGTGGCTGAACTCTTGACCTTCTGTAGCCGCCACAGACATGCCATTAAGTTTCTTGAATGGCAAAAAGATAATAAATAAATAAATAAATAAATAAGGGCTGGAGATATGGCTCATAGGCTAAGAGCACTTGCTGATCTTGCAGAGGACCCAGGTTCGAATATGGTGGCATAATTCTAGTTCCAGGAGATCCAGTACCCTCTTCTGACCTCTGTGGGTGCTAGGCATACACATAGTGCACATACTTGCATGCATACACATAAAGTGAAAACAAATAAATCTTTTGAAAATAATAAATTCAGTGTTTGTTGTAGTAGATTTCAAAATGACTGTCTGCTTTAGACTTGTATACATTCTAATCAGGGGGAATTTATATATATATGAAATATAATATATATGTAATAAGGGTGATCATATATATATATAGTCTTCCCCTTAGTGGGAGATATTGTTACATTGTCTTCAAACTTGAAGAGCCTTGGAAAACACAAGTAAATCATCTTTTTTGGTTTGTTTTCCAGTACTGGAAAACTAGGCACTATGGTATATGCCTTAATCCCAACACACTAGAGATGGAGGTAGAAGGATTCCAAAGTCAAGGTCATTCTCAGCTAGAGGAAGCCCGACTTCAAAGAAAGAGAGAAAACAGAACTGAGAGGCCAGAGAGTTAACATGATTCCATGGGGCTGCACCACTGGGTCAAAACTTAGTCACTTTGCACTGTGTTGTGTGTTTTACTGAGAGTGATTTGTGGTTTTAATCAGCACTTGAATCACAGGCTCTTTCTTTCTTTCTGTCATTCAGTTTCCCTTTCAAGACAATCTGTTCCAATCCATGTACTACCCTCTCCAGCTGAAGTTTTTGGAGACAGTGCACACGCTATGTGGACGGATCCCCCAGGTCTTTCTGAAGCAGATTGAGAAAACGATGAAAAGGGCTTACGAGAAGCACGTCATCATCCACATGGGCCCCAACTCCATGAGCTGAGTGCCCCCCTTGCTCTGAGTCAGCCTGGCATCTGTGACTGAGGACATGGATCATATGCTGCCCGGATATTTGTGTGTGGGCATATTTACTGGTGCTCTGTGACTGCTGAGGTTTAAATGCCTGGTTACATTGTGCTTGAGTTGTTTATCTCTAAAAGGGAATGTGCTTTTCTTTATTATTTTTAAATACTATTTATCTTTTTTTAAAAAAGTTATTATCATGAATTTAACATTGTCTCATTGGATTGAGAAAGAAAAGGGAACTTTTCCTAGCCCTCAAATATGAGACCCTGTCAGTGTATACAGGATGATAATTATCTGATATTTTTTAGAATCTTCCTATGCAACTTACTCTCTCACCCCCATTAAGAAATAATGTGTGTTGGGGCTGGCAGGATGGCTCAGTGGTAACAGCATGTGCCACCATGCCTGATTGCCTGTGTTCCCGATTCCCTCGAATCGAGAGGATTCTAAGAAGAGGATTGACTCAAGTTATCCTGACCTTCATGTGGGGCCCACACTCACACCCACAAATAAAGAAACGTAATATTAAAAATAACAATAGGGGTAGCTGGGCGGTGGTGGCGAACGCCTTTAATCCCAGCACTTGGGAGGCAGAGGCAGGTGGATTTCTGTGAGTTCGAGGCTAGCCTGGTTTACAAGAGCTAGTTCCAGGACAGGCTCCAAAGCCACAGAGAAACCCTGTCTCAAAAAACCAAAAAAAAAAAAAAAAAACCAATAGGGGGCTAGAGAGATGGCTCAGTGGTTAAGAGCACTGACTGCTCTCCTTGAGGATCCAGGTTCAATTCCCAGCACCCACATGGCAGCTCAAAACTGTCTGGAATTCTAGTTCCAGGGGCACTGAATGCTTTTCCAGAGAACCTGGATTTCATTTTTAGTACCCACACATAATGGCTCACAACCATCTTAACTCCAGGTCTAGGGGATCCAGCGCCCTCTTTTATCTTCCACAGCCAATAGGCACACAAACAGTGTGCACAAAATAATAGCTTTTAAAAATTAAAAGAATAATAATATGTTATGAGACAGACAAACTTGGAGACAATAAAGGTCAGTGAACCACAGTCAAGATTAGATTAGACGTAATCCTACCAACCCCTGGAAAAGGTTGTCACCATTATAATGTATTTCTTTCCAGACTCTAAGACTTCCCTGACTTCTGTGTTTCCATTGTAACACATTTAAAACGTGCGACCTCGGTAAAGACCAGCCTCTGTGCTGAGGTTTCACGTAGGAGACTAAAAAGCCAGACGAGATAATTACAGCACCGCTGTGTCTGGAAGAGGCTTTCAGACCAGCTAATTGGGCAGCATTTCAAGATGAAGCGTGTGTCTGAGAGTGCATCCCAGAAGAATTGCCGTGCTCCAAGGAGGGCGCAATAAGGAGAAATTTCTATGCAACAAAAGCCTCGGAGAGAAAGCCCAAGGGATCTCTTTAGCAAAGAGGTCTGATTTTGTATTTCTCCACGGACAAGAGCACTTGACTGAACTTCTGCGCAGTGGGTAGAAATCAAAGGACAAGTTCAGGCTTTTGGGGGGGCTTTCCTTGTTGTCGTTTTAATTGTATTTTTAACTGTGTGTCTGTGTCTGTGTACGGGCATGTAAGTGCAGGTGCCTGTGGATACCAGAGCAGGAGGGCATTAAATCCCTTTGAGCTGGAATTACAAGTGGTGAGCCTCCTGACATGGGTGCTGGGCACTGAGCGTGGGTCTTCTGCAAGAGCAACAAGTGCTCTTAACCACTGAACTATCTCTCCAGCCTTTGCTTTGTTTTCTTTTGTATTTTTAAGACAAGATTTCCCAACCTGCCTGCCTCCACTTCCAACTAAGTACTGAATAGATAGGTGTGTGCCCCCACACCCAGCTCCAGGTTCAGATTTAATGTGGTCAAAGTAAATATTTCAAATGATTTCACAGGCAAGCAAATTCAAATTCCTGCCAGTCTCAGGTCTCTACCTTTTTTTTTTTTTTTTTTCTTTTTCGCTGTGATTAGCCAGCGCTTAGCTTAGAGGCTTTGCAATTCTATCACCTAGCTACAGTAGAGGAAGTTCTTATTCTATCCCCAAGAGGGATCTGACTTAATCCCTAGTTGCTCTTAAGGTTGCTATCAGGGTAGGGACATTTTGCATAATGTTTCATTTATCTCAAATGACTTTTACATAAACAACCTTTTTGATGTCTCGGGCAGCCTAGGGAACTAGGAGGGGCCTGTTCTCACGTCCGCGAAGTAGGAGGGAAAAGGGACATAGTTGATAGAAGTACATTTCTATAAAACACATGTTTGTGTAAGATGAATCCTGTTTCCCAGGGAGGAAGAAATTGAAAATAAACATCCTGAGTTCTCTTCCTCCTACACAGAAAGCAGACAGAAAGTGGAAAGTAATAAGCATTATTTTTACTAATGCGATGTAGTAGCCCGTGTATCAGAATCCAGTAGGTTATCTCCGTCTCTGTATCAGCTGAAATGGCTCGTCCTGAGGAGATAGCAGAAAACCTGTGCTACAAAGGCAGTTGGGGAAGATGCAGCTATGGTAATCACAGTGGCAGAGCTGGAATGCTAAGCTACGTCCACTCTCCCCTCTGGTCTACAGCCTGGTTCTCAGGGAAACCACCCTGGGATGTACAGCTCTCATTTCCACTCTTGTTCTGTGTCCTCACCACTGCTGGTGACACTTATTTTGGTTTTTTTTTTTTTTCCGGCTGTGGGCACGTGGGTCGCGCAGTAAATACCCACAAACTAGGTTTTGGTGACAGAGCCAGAATATACACATACAGTACTGGCTTCGAGTCCAGTCTTGCTTTTTGTCTGTTCAGAACATTCAGTGAACCCAAGAGCGCTATTTAGATTTTTCACTGGTTACCAGATCTAAAAACCTTTGGTCCGGTCTTCGGAGAAGTCTTTGAATACAAAATACAACAATGCCTTTGACTTTATGAAAACCAGGTCCACTCACAAATGCTCTTCTGTTTGATGCCAGCTGAATCTGTAACACTGTTGCCAGCGAAGGTCAATGATAGAATCTTAAAACATTCTAGAAGGACCAGTTATGATCATGTGACACTTTAAGACCTAAAGTGATTTTCCTTCACCATGGAATTCCCATGCTGTATTCGAAAATTTTAGGTTTTTAGTGGAGAATTTAAGAAAAAAAAAATCTCTTCCAACTCTTTGTACCAAAAAGTGGTAAATATTATCCATACTAAGATACAAAGCGGGGCTTTCTCAGCTTTTGGTATTTCCTGGCAAACACCTTTGAAATCCAAGGGCCACACATATTTATTCAATGAACTTCTAAAACGTGATCGATCTGTGTTAGGAAGTCACAGGCTGCCTTTCTGCTCCTTAGGCCGCACTAAATCCATACCTGGGATAGCTAAGGCTGGTTCTCACCTCCAGGTCTGTCCTTTTTTCCTTTTTACTCCTCCTCTCCCCTTTTGTCTTTAGTCACAGTTGTATTGCTGTGCAAAGACACCTTGACCAAGGCAACTCTCATAAAAGAAAGCATTTAATTGTGGGTTTGCTTACATTTAGAGGGTTAGTCCCTTATCATCGTGTTGGGAAGCAGGCAGGAATGGCGCTGGAGCAGTAGCTAAGAGCTTTACATCCTGATCCTGGGGCAGCAGGCAGAAAGAGAGACTGGACCTAGTGTGAGCTTTCAAAACCTCAAAGGCCACCTGCAGTGACACACCTCCTCCAACAAGGACACATCTTCCATCAACTGGGGACTAACCATGCAAATATGAGTTTATGGGGGTGTTCTCACTCAGACTACCACATCTCCCCTCTCCTGCCTTCTCTCTTAGCTATGGGTTCTGTGGAGAACGTCAGAGCCCTCTCGAATAGCAAGTGGTGACCATGCTTTTGGCATGTGGGGTTTGAATGTCAGGGTTCGTAGAAAGGCTGGCATTACTTCTTGCTGTTTATTTCCAATTGTAACTTACATGAAAATTCTAATACTTGAACAAGTGCTGTGGACAAAATCACTTTGAGTGTCTCCTCAACTTTGACAATTACATTTTAGCATTTGGGGCACAACACTCTACACATCAACCTTTCTTGACATTAGGATCTCATATTCAGCGCTCTGCTGTGAGCCGTCTACACTTCCACTGTCTGCTTCTGAAATGGGCATTTATGCACTCCCAGAGGCTGGCCAGCAGTTCTACAACTGCACTTGTAGTGCCCATAAACAAAAAGAAGCAAACAAACCAAACCATGAACAATCAATTGTAGCTCCTAGCAGTAGCTCTGGGCCTGGTGGTTCACGGCTGTAATCCCAGTGTTTGGGAAGATGGTTGATCTCAGAGGCCAGCCAGGACTACATGGTAAGTACCAAGTCAGCCAGGCCTTTCTCACTCAAAAATGGGACCAGACAGATGGGACTGGAGAGATGGCCCCATGGTTCAGAGCACTGACAGCACTTTCCAGAGGACCTGGCTTTAATTTCTACCACCTACGTGGTGGTCTACAACCACTTGTAACTCCAGTTCCAGGAGGATCTAATGTCCACCCGGCATACACGCGTTTCACAGACATACATGCAAGCAAAATACCCACACCTACAATTTTTAAAAATTCAAAACACATGTCTTTAATCCAAGCACTTGAGAGACAGTCAGGTGGATCTCTGTGAGTTTAAGGCCAGTCTGGCCTACAGAGTGAGTTCCAGACCAGCCAGGACTATATGGTGAGACCCTTTCTCAAAAACAAAACAATACACACACACACACACACACACACACACACACACACACACACAACACACACACACACACACACACACAGAGAGAGAGAGAGAGAGAGAGAGAGAGAGAGAGAGAGAGAGAACTGCTCCAAACAAAGAGCTATGGGACTTATCATGAGAGTGACTCAGTGTTGTGCTTTCCTGTCGCTTTAAGGGACAAGCCACGCGCCCACTTTCATTACCTCTGACCTGCCCGCGCCATCTTGGGCCCTTCCTTTTCTGCTTCCTTGACATACG